TGCAAGCATTCACAGCTACCTGAGTGAGCCCAAGCCTCAATCATATGCTGCCTTTTCCCACCCCTCCCTGTCTCAACTCTGGCCTCCAGGAAGAGAGAATATTCACAGATCCCCACAGAGCCTTTTATGGGCCACAGCTACCACCCAAGATGCTGGTGAATAACGTACAGCAATGACCAGAGGCCTGCTTGTGGTCCTCCTTCAGCACACAGGACATGGCAACAGGCTAGAGACCTGGGTACAAACTACTGCCTCTTCTGCCCTATTCCACATATGGCCCTGCATTGATCTTCCCTGGGCCTGAATTTTTGCCTTTGCCCAGAAGAGAATGACATTCCCCCTTTCTCCCCAACCAGGGACAGCCTAGGTTAAGGCATTTGGTATATAGTCTGGCAATCATTACAGCCATGTGTCTAGGACCCTACCACTGAATAAGGTCCTTGGGGAAGCTGCCATGCATCAAGTGTTCAGTTAATACGCAAGGAGTGAGGTGAAAAGGGTGAGAAGGGGAGAGGGAAAGTCAAAGGGAATGAAGTTAAGTGTTTACTATTTCTACATTTCCTTACACTTTAGTATTTACTGTATTCAGCTGGAAATAATTTTTAAATGGCAATAAAACATATTACACATTTTTAAAAATCTGCTTTTTGGCCAGGCACAGCCCTCACACCTATCATCTCAGCACTTCAGAAGGCCAAGGTAGGAGGATCACTTAAGCCCAACAGTTCAAGGCTGCAGTGAACTATAATTGTGCCACATACTCCAGACAAGATACTGTCTCAAAAAAAAAAAAAAAAAAAAAGCCTGCTTTTATGTGTTACTCATGGGAGGTTGCTCGGAATTCCATGTGACCTCAGGAGGTTGTATGTCTAAGACCTGTGAGCTGAAGGTATTCCTGCCCCACACTTACACTCAGACATATGCCCCTCCACCCTAGGCATGACTCCCAGCATCTCATTCCTGGGCCATATTAACCTATTCTTCTGTCAGTCAACCAACAACTCCAGGTGAGACCTCCTCTACAGGAGGAAGGCTTCTTTTCTAAGTCAGGAATCCTAAAAACAAGATTTCCGGTGTTGAACAAGAAAATGGGTAGGAGAGTATGCGGGAGCTGAAGAAAAGGTCCTTGTCTGCCACTTTCCTTTGAGCATGTTGGTTCTCCTTTTGTGTTTTTTGAGTATCTACATGTGGCTCTAAGCACATAACCAGTATTAAATATCATCCTCCATGACTCTTTACAAATCAAGAACTCAAAGTCAAGGAAGGAAGAAAAGAAGATACTTGGACACAGGACAGATACTTGCTTTTCTCTCAGTCACAAGGACCTCAAATTAAGCCTCTGGATTGAGGTTTCATGTTTCATACAAGTACCTGAGTAGATATATAAGAAGGGAAGGTAGAAAAGTCCCAGCATCAAAGATAAATAAAATGAATAGGTCTCACAAATTATTTTAAATAGAAGAGATAAATTGAGAAAAGAGCTGTGCTAGTTGCCTAACTGTACAGGTTCCTCCTAACTGCATAAGGGAGCAACAAGGGGCTGAGAAATTGGCAGGTAAACCAGGAGTACTTGCTCTAGGGCCAGTACACTGGCTGCCTACATCCCCTCATGTTCTCCATGAGGAGTTGAGGGTCCTATCACATTAGTGACACTGACAACCATACTCAACAGGAATGGTGGCAGGGAGGAGAACTAAAGGTCGTCACTGAGGGCAGGAACACTACATGGGGAAGAGAGAATCCTACTGCGTCCCCACCTCAAGAAGACTGCAAAAGAGCAGTGAAACTCCCTGGGGCCAGGAGGAGCCCAGGAAAAGGGTAGAGACTCAACAGCAGCTGAAGACACTAAGCAAATGCTACACCAGGCAAGAGAGGACTCTGGCTGACATTACATTATAACCCTTTTGGAAGATCACTTGAGACCAGGAGTTCGTAACCAGCCTGGGTGATAAAGGGAAACCCTGCCTCAATATACATAACACACATATATTACAGCCCTTTTAGCTTTTCAGAGTATTAATATTTTCATATAGATTATTTCAGATCACCTTCACAATAATCTAGTAAGGTCTGTAAAGGAAACAGTATTCACATTTAATATGAGGAAACTGAGGCTGGGAGAGGGAATGATTTGCCTGAGGCCACACTGCTAGTTGAAGGCAAAGCAGAA